TAGTTCGAACCATCATTTATAATATTGAAAACTAAAATTTGAACTGTAACAGACAAACAAAAAATACAGATGAAAATAAGAAAGTTCATCGGATTATAAACTGCACCTGACCATCCCAAACTGCTGAGGAGACGTGCTTCTCTTGGTCATAAAGAACCGAGCTCTCAATTGGTCCAGGATTGGTCCCATAAGGATCCATTAATGACACTTCCATCACTCCCACTGATCGGAACAGCAAAATGAGAGAAAAACCAACCATTTAACTCAAGTCCAACATCTCCAAGTTTACATGACACTGAGTATGACCATACCACATGATTAAAAAGACAGAAATGACTAACCACAATCCCAGCTTGATCATATTTTGTACAAATATGCATTGAACATGTTAATGCGCTGGAGCCCTGATCAGCTTTATAAACAATATCAAGGAAACTTCACCTAAACTAAATGAAACATGCACAAACATGACCAATCAGGAAGTAACTGATTTTCTACTCTCACAGAATTAATCCTTGAACAAAACTAACAGAGCTACATTAAAATACTGTTCAAACACTCATGGAACGGATCAATGGGCCAGAGAACTGATCGTCATTCTAAATAACAATATCACGTCAACATGACCAATAATTAAAAGAGCGCTGCAAACAAAACCAATCAAGAGTAGATTTCCTTTTAAGATCCCTGAGCATCTCTGTCTGGGAATTAGGATTAGAAGGGGAAAAGGGAATTCCCACAAAATCAGCATCATCATCATCCAAGAAAGTTTTGCACCGAAAATCGGCAATTCATAACAATTACAGATACGCAATGCGCTCGGAATTGGATATTCATTCAAGCTCCTCATTCGTTGATTAAAGAAAAAATTGAATTGATTGGTAATTGGTAATTTGATTTTGGCGCGCGTTGAATAGAATCGAATACCGCGAAAGAAATGAATGGAAAGGGAAAGGGAAAGGAAAACCCTAAGCAAAGACGCAGATTGAGCAGCGTATATAAATGGCGGGGAAAAGAAATAAAACGCATGAAGGGATTAAGAAAAGAGAGAGGGCGTTGGAAGCTGGTGAATGAAGTTACCTCAAAACGACGACGGAGGCGACCTTCGCACCGAAATGGAAAAACAAAAACCCTCGAAACGACGACAACATCGTCGTAGAACGCTGGACAACGACTGTATAAAATACTTTTTCAATTTTTTCAATTTATTTATTTCTAAATTTCTATTTTTTAATTCTTTTCCTTATTTCTTTCTTTCTTTATTTCTTTAATAAATTATAAAATCTTAGGCCTCCAAATATACATACATATATATATATATATATACACATGCATACATACAGAAACTTCACTAGTAGATTATGTGTGTAAAGGCAAATGAGAAGATGATCATTCGAGATTATGCTCATAGATGGTATGAATATTCTAATCTAATAAGTAACCTATAAATACTCACACTTCGAACTGTGTTAACTTGGAAGATGTACTTCGGACCGGGCGATGTGCGAGTAAAGACATTGGGTCACACGCATTTCTTATAAGAATATGGAAACTTCCCCTAATAGACACGTTTTAAAAACTTTGAAGGGAAAGTTTAAAAAGACAATATGTGCGAGCGGTGGATGGTTACAAGTTTCAGTTACAAATGTGCCCGTTTTAAGAAGCGGAAAACTTTTTGGGCCATTTTTGTAAATTTTCCCTTTTTCAATGGTCTCAAGAAAACTTAAAACCCCGAAGGCATCGGTCAGTCGTTAGGCTTCACTCCATCGCCCTTGTACGTTTTAGAGAAACCGAACGCCCCCTCGGGATCGATTTGCCGATCAAAACTAATATCGCCGTCGCTCGTCATCCCACCTCTCCCCGCATCGTCTTCTCTCCGTCGCCTCTCGGGTTGGTTGTCTCTAGATTGCTTAAACCCTAGCTCTTTAGGGCGCTTCTCCATCGCTTTTGCGTTGCCACTGTTTCTGCAATTATCGTCTCTAAAATCTTGTAGTTCTGAGATTTGATTTGAAGTCGCAGACCTTCAGGTATTTTTCCTGATTTCCCTATGAAATTGCTTGAATATCGATTCTTGGATTATTTTATTTACTCCTCATTACGAATATATAAATGATTTACGCGCATATATATCATCTTGTTTTTGGTTTTTCTGATAGTTCCTAGCAACCATTTTCTTAACGTCTCTGCGATTGGCTTGTTCTGCTAAGTTTACATATGATCGCTTCTCAATTTCTCACTTTTAGGTGCACGCGAAAGAAGAAAAATTGTTATTGTTCATTACCTATACTGCAGACCAAACTCAACGTGGTTTTTTCATGATTTTTTTGGGATAATTGTTCATAGTGACACATATCATCAAGAACTCTCAACAAAAATCTTTATGGATTTGAAATTGTTTTCCTCAAGTTATATAGTTTTGTAAACAGCATGCTTCTTTTTTTTTTTTTTTTTTTTTTTTTTTTTAAAAGTTTT